GCAGATGGAGACAGCAACCACAAAATTAAAAGACTCCTGCTTCTTGGGAGGAAAGCGATGACAGACGTAGACGGCATCTTAAAAAGCCGAGACATCACCTTGCTGACGAAGTCCGCATAGTCAAAGCTATGGTTTTTCCAGTAGCGATGTATGGAAGTGAGAGCTGGACCATAAAGAAGGCTGACCACCGAAGAATGGATGGTTTTGAATTGTGCTGGAGGAGATTCTTGAGAGTCCCCTGGACTGCAAGGAGAACAAACCTATCCATTCTGAAGGAAATCAACCCTGAGTGCTCACTGGAAGGACAGATCCTGAAGCTGAGGCTCCAATACTTTGATCATCTCATGAGAAGAGAAGACTCCCTGGAAAAGATCCTGATGTTGGGAAAGTGTGAAGGCAAGAGGCGAAGGGGACGACGGAGGATGAGATGGTTGGACAGAGTCATTGAAGCTACCAACATGAATTTGACCAAACTCTGGGAGACAGTGGAAGACAGGAGGGCCTGGCGTGCTCTGGTCCATGGGGTCATGAAGAGTCAGACACAACTTAACATCTAAAGAACAATAATATAAAAAAACTTATTACAGGGATGTTTGCCTTCCCCCACTCAAACAACTGTTGATATGTTATTTGAGAGAGGGTTTTGAAGGCTGGCTTTTGCTGCAGGTCTCTTCACTGTGTCTCCAACACCATCACAAACTCCTTTGCCATGTGCAGTCACATAAAAATGCAATTCTGCTTCAATGCCTTGGAAATCAGTGTGTGGGTTACACAAATTTGCAAAATTCTTACGATTTTTGTGTTGTGCTGCAGAGCTGTCTGAAAAGTAAAATATCTTTTTTAAGTTCGGGAGCAATTCCACTTTCAAAACATTAAAAGTTTTCTTTGATAAGCATGAACAATAACTGTGTCATGTTTCAGATATTCCGAGATGAAAACAAAACTCTAATGTTTTAGTTGATCATTTTCCTTGTAGTACACAACAAAGGGATAAACAGTTGCCCTAGAGTTGTTCCAGCAGAATGACTGGGCTTCATTTTGTAGAATGAATGAATAGTTCACAGAAAAATCACATGTGATCACAACTTTATTATGGCAAAGTGTAATTTTCTTCTCTGCAAAAAAAGCAGATTTGTGTTTGGCAATGAAATCATGCTCCTTCAATATGATTAACTGGGCTGAAAACTCAACCAAATGCTCTGTGGTTTTGCAAATAGTTTCAAATGAACTGTGGTCCACTGAAATCCACTGCTTGTAGGTGATGTTATCAATCATTTCTTCTTCAGGACTTGTCAGTAAGGTTTCCTTGAATTCATCACTGCTAGGGCATGAATCACACTCACCAAAAAATTGTCTGCTGGGGTATTACACATAATTCTTGCTAAACACACACACACATAGTGAATCCCACTAGCTCCTGCAGTTCCTTGGTCTTAACTCAGCAAATTTTGAAAATCCTATCTTTTCAGATGGATACTTGGAGTTAAAAATTTGATAAATTTATCTAAGATTACCAAGTATTAGATGCTTTTGGACATGGGTTCGACAACCATCTTTGTCTTTGATTTAAATATAATCTTTCTCGCCCGGCATTTGCTTGCTGACTTCTTCATTGCAGTAAAATTCCTTTGCTAAGTTGACTGTGTCTTCAGGTAAAATTTTTCCAGGTGTGGGATTAGGTGAGCACAAAATTCCTTTTTCTTCACAAGTTTCTTTGCCTTCCTTGCAATGTGGTTACTTACTCTGAATTCACTTTCTATTTTACAGGACCGGCTTTCTGGTAAAACTGTCAAAATCATGAGTTTTTTAATTCTGTTCTCCATTTTAAAATTTTTCTTTAGTTGCTGAATAATTTCTGAATCAGCAGTTACTTTCTTCCTCATCTAAATCATCTTCAGACATACAAAATAACTCTGTAGTTCCTTTTACTCTTCCTCATCTTTTCTTCGCAATACTACATTTTTCTTACACACCGGAGACTCACCAATGGAGGTCAAGGAGGCATTTAGGTGGCTAAAAGCTGCATCAGGGTCGAAATACTCAGACTCCTTAATATGACTAGGACCAGTAATCTCATAATTCTCAGAATTTCCTGTTCAAGTATATTTTTTTCCATCTGATAAGGCTTCTCTTTTCCAAACTGCAATCTGAATGAAGTACAGAGTAGACCTTTGGTCGGTCGGTCGGTCGGTCTATATCTATCTCTAAACAAACAAACAAACAAACAAATAAATAAATAAATAAATTTGTCTGTGATTTGATTTCACTATTTAGTGAACACAGCCAATAAGTTACTTTCCTTAAGTCTTTACTAAGCCAGTGCCCCCCCCCTTTTTAAAGGGTTGCAACAGTTTTTTCTGTTCTCCATATTTAAAAGTATGTAGTTATCAAACAGTTTAATAAAGAGTAATAAAGGAGCTTCATAACAAAAATGTCCTAGACAGCTCCACAAAAAATACACTATACACATACATGTGCGCACAGACACACATCTTTTACCACAGAATTTTATCAATATAAATTGTAAAAAAAAAATGGACTTGAGGGGTTTTAAATCCTTGTCATTGCCAACAAGAAAATCTAAGTTTTCTATAAGAATGAAATACCAGCCTGAAATTTGGATAGACTGGCTACAAGACATATATCTTTAAGTGTGAATTTTTTGAAATATTAAAAAAATCAATTTTCCCAAAAATTCAATCTTTTAAATGTGTAATTTTTTTTTGAAAATGTACAATTGCATTATGTTGTACGGTATATCAAATGAAGGCCCTATTCTTAAGCTTTAAAATGACACCTGTCTCAGGTTTGTAGCTATCATAGGTATGTATTAAATGACATTTGAAATTATGGTGTCTAGTGAAATTTGGCATTTTTTTGCAGTTTTGAAAATGCAATATCTCATGACATCAAGTTCCAAAATAGATTTTTCATTGATTGATTTGACATAGAATGACCCTTTACCTTCTTGCTTTATTTCATTGTCTAATTGTATTTTCTGCCTAAGTTCTTTGCACCTGATTCTATCTTTGTTGCTCACCTTCAGGCCCCATACTCTTACAGTGTTTGCTGCCCTTTTTTACACTTCTTTCACCTCCCTTTACTTAACACTCATTTCCACAAATACCAAGTAATCTGAAAATAGCTATGATAGGAAAGTTGACCTGGTGTAATAGGAAGTGAGATTTACACTTTTGTATGAACGTATTTGCCTGCGTCCAGTCTTCTTTGAAGCACTTGGAAAAGTTATTTGTTCGTCACTGGCCATGCTGGCTAGGGGATACTGGGACATCTAGTCCAAAGCCCTGCTTCTATGTTGCCATCTACTCCATAAACCAATGCTAATAAATGTATGATTCATCATCGTGTCCCAGTCCTTGACTGTGTGTTCCCTTCTTTTGGCTCTGCAAGCTCAACTTACCTATGTGTGGACCCACAGACCTTGAAGAGATACTGGCTGACCCCACTCCCCATCCTTTCCTTTCCAGCAATGAAGAGAAGGCGGAAGACTAGACATGGGAGCTTTATATTTGTATCCCCTGGGATATGAATACAAATAGCCCAACTCTAGTATAAAAGTCTTCTTTTATACAGTGGTGCCTCACTTGACAATGTTAACTCGTTCCAGCGAAATCACTGTAGAGCGAAAACGTCAAGCAAAATAAAAAAGCCCATTGAAATGCATTGTAAACCGTTCAATGCGTTCCAATGGGCTGAATACCTGCTCGTCCAGTGAAGATCCTCCATAGGGGCAGCCATTTTCGGTGCCTGTAGTGCGAAAAATGCCTCCTAAAAACAGCAGGGAGCCATTTTGAGCAGCCGGCAGCCATTTTGAAAATCCGACAATCAGCTGTTTTGATTGTTGTAATGTGAAGAATTGGTTCCTGAAGCAGGGAACTGATTGTTGCAAAGCGAAAAAAACATTAAAACATCGTTATCACAAAAACATCGTCTTGAAGCGGATTCGTTGTTATACGGGGTAATCGTTAAGCGGGGCACGACTGTACTTTTTAAAGGTTCTGGCATCTTCCTCCATTTGTCTTGTAGATTTAAGAATATGTCTTAATTCTTATACATAATTTGGGTCTTCCATTTTATAAGTATTATAATATAATGTAATATATGATTACAATATATTTGTATTATATACATATAATGAACTCTGTCTTTGCTTTAAATATACAAACCTACAGGAATGAATCAGTTTGGGCCAATGCAGATGCCATCTGTTGGACCCCGGCAAACTCCTCCCCTTCAGCACCCTGGACAGCTAAGCCAGACAGGGGCTATGAGCCAGGTCAGTTCACTCATGTCCATTGTTGTTACATCCAAATGTTTTGGACATAACAACTTCTGTCTTGAGTTATTTGGAGCTGGCATGCAGCTTTCTGTAGAAAATGTATTTATTGGGCGGTTGGAATCAGAATTGAGGAACAGTCTCATTTAAGTCTCTAGCACTGCTAGTCTGAGCAAATTTATTTGTAGTTGGGATAAGGGTAAGGTACTAGTAAATACACTATACTGTGATTATCTTGTGGTATCAGTTAAGACTGAGTCTGACTATAACTGTGTGAGTATTTATTTGTAATAAACCTTTTCTTACAGATGGGTTTTTCTCCACGTATGCAACAACAAGGGGTTGGGCAGCCATCTAATCAAAGTCAGTTCCTGCAGCAGAACCAGTTTCCTGCATTGTCCCCTGGAATAAATCCAGCAGGCACACCTATGACACAGCCTGGCAGTCAGATCCCAACTTCTCAAGTATGTTGAGCAAAGATTATTTTGCAGACTTTTTTAAATGTGTGTGTAGTGGGGTAGTTTACACAGATAAATGGAATTCACAAAACAAAATAGTTTTCACAAACTAGTCAGTAACATCATTGATCACCTAAGAGGGTGCTATCTTCATTTTTATGTTCAACCTCTTCTTTGGAGAAGGTCTTCCATTTTGTTCTCATTTTCATCTTTTGAAGCTGTCAGCTATAATTTAGAAGAGGGCTGCTTCCAGCAATTCCTTTTACCATCACTTTCTTACTATTCATCTTGCCTTTGTCATGGCAACTGGAAGAATTGGAGAGAATGCAGTACTTGTGATTTGATCTGGTTTTGGATGCTGTACCTTGTGTATTCAGATACTGATAGTTCTATTTCTTCCCAGGCACAAATGACTAGCTCTTCCTGTCCTGTGACTTCTCCAGCTGTGGCTCCAGGTTCCCAGGGGAGTCATATTCCCTGTCCCCCTCTTCCACAGTCTACTTTGCATCGAAATTCTCCCTCTCCAGTACCAAGCCGTACTCCTACACCTCATCATACACCGCCAGGCCTAGTTTCCCAGCAGCAACAGCAGCAGCAACAGCAACAGCAACCCCCAGCCCCACCACAAACAATTTCCTCTGCTCCTACCCCGGTTGCTCAAGGAATGCCACCTGGGCCACAGTCTCAAACTATGCATCCACCTCAGAGACAAACGCCGACACCACCCCAGGGTCAGTTGACTCCACAAGTGCAGCCTCCAGTTTCTGTTACTCCTTCTGCAGAGCAGCAGCTCCCACAGCAGCCTCTTTCGCAACAGAGTGCAACCGCATCTGTGCCCACCCCAACAGCAGCTCTCCAGCCTCAGCATCCTGCAACGCCTGTAAGGAATTTTTTTAATCTGTTAAGTTCTACCTCAAACAGAATTTTCTTGTATTTCTACTATATTGAGTGCATAATATTCGTGGAGGGACAGAACAGTATACTAGATTCTGTAACTTGTGCTCTTCTGTATATCAGTGTTTTACAGAAGTTGCATGTTGTCAAAGATACATATGGTACAGAGCATAGCTACTGTTAGACAGTATAAGTGTTTGTTCTTTTTCGTGGCCTCTGTGAATGCACACATATGGGTATTGTCTGCGCCTCCGCTGACTCTCTCGGAAAATTCTAGAGCTAAAAGTAACAATTTTATGGTGTGATCCTCCACAAGGTATATGCTCCTCCCACCCACCATCTTCCCCAGTTCCTTTTTTCCGCCAAGCTGAACAGTTCTCAGGAAAGATTGAGCGCTTCATTAGTTGCCTTTTGACTATTTTTCTAGGCTCTTTTGAGCTTTTGTTTGTTTTAATTACCTACTTAGTGATCCTCCCCTCGGCTCCCTGCGGTCTTTTTCTTCCCTTTCTCCCCCTTTTTCCCCTTCCCCCTCCCCTTCCCTAGTTCTTTGCTTATGGCCTCACCATCTCCTTTTAAAAGGTGTACAACCTGTGTGAATAAAATCACACTTTCCGACAGTCATAACCAGTGCCTTTTTTGTTTGGGTGAGTAACATCCTACCCGTTCGTGCCCCGCTTGTAAAAATTTAACCAAGCCGGCACTTAAACAGAGGCTCCAAAGACTTCGGTCTTACCTTTGGCAAACAGCCATGAATCCTCCTACTTTGTCTTCAGAAGCAGCTAGATCTCCTGCCCTTTCAGCCGATAGACTTCCAGCGGGTCAGCCTACCTCTGATTCTACCTCTGTGCTACCAGTTAAGGACACTGCTGAAAAAGCAAAATCGTCTGGTAAGCACAAGCTGCCCTCCTCTCAGAAGTCTCGAGCTCACGATCCCAGCTTGAAGAAAAAACCTAAGTCTGCCCCTAAGAGGCCCAGAAAGGACAAACTTCCCAGAGTGGAGCCCCCTCAGTCTTCTCTGCCTTCCCCTATCCTTGAGGAATCGTCCAGAGAAGCCCCTGATTTAGCCTCAGACGGAGACGATGCCCATGATGTTGCGCCCCCCCCCACGATGCCAACCCAAACCCCGAGCATTGGCCTCAATGCGGCTGCCCCACAGTCCAGCCCGGCCTCAGCCCATTCCAACCCTGACTCAGGATGGGCAGTTGATAGCTCAGCATCCAATCTGGAGGCTCCCCCTTCGCCTCCATGGAAGAGAACGGAGAAACGAAAGCACCTCTCTCCACCGAGGTCGGTCCCATCGCAAGGCGACTTAGGCCCTTTTCCAATGGTACCATACCATTTTGACCCCTTCATGTGGCAATCCTGGTACGAGAGGTTTCAGCCTGAGCAGGCTAAACGGCCAAAAACTATGCCGGAACTCCGCCATGCCATACCCTTTGTGGACTCAAGCCGCCTCCGTGCAACTGCCTCGGCCCCGGCAGCTTCGGCTCCGCCTGTTCGCCCCCTCGTCCCATCGAAGCGGATGTGAGAAAAGGTTCACAAAGCCCTACCAGTGCGTCCTGCAACCTCGATGCTGGACCCAGTAACATCTCCGGGCCCCTTCAAAGACTTGCCACCCCAAGGGCATCAAGCCCCCCCCCGATGAAAGGCTTTGGCCCATCAGATTACCCTTCGTCTCCAGGCTCCCCTGCATCTTCGGAGGCACAACACTCTCAGTCCTCCCGTGAGCCCGACCTTCCTCCTCCTATCCCAGATACGAGGGGCAGCCATGCTTCATCCTCCTCGGATGACTTTTCCTATTCAGCCCTCATCTTTCAGATGGCACAAGCCCTAAATCTCGACACTGAACAACCCCCGTCCGCTGATGC